GTTGTTTTATGCTTCTGAAGCGTATTGTTAGTTCTCGGATCTCTCGATTCATTTATGACAAAAATAGTCTTTAGCATTCGTATTTACGGTTCTTGTAATGCAATTGTCCACACAGCAAAGCATTTCTCACGCTTTTTTATACGGTCTATCTCTCGTACGGATTCCCAATTTCTCTAAAAGATTGTACTCATAAAAATATTGTTGTTTTGATCCGAAATTTCACACTTCAGGATATCAATACATATATGTACCAACTTCTCATTTATCGAGCCTTTTCGAAGTGTCCGCTTCACACAGCTTCCATGCGTCCTGTGTTGTTGATTTGTGCAATAATTAGGCAATTACTAGAACTCGGTTTGGCCTGGTCAGCGTCATACGCGAATTTTTATATGAGATTCTGTGGGGTTACCCCACCAGTGAGTGGCGGGAGTTTGAATGTGGCAAGTGGAAGGATGGACGGTGTGCTGAGTGTTTCGTTCAGGGCAAGAAAGGGGGGTCTGGGACAGATGGGTTTAATGATTAAATGGCGTAGATTCCTTGTCGGTTGGCTAGGTCATGTACATTTGGGAGTGGGGAGGGGAGGGGGGTTGAGGGGAGATGGAAATGGAGACGAATAATGCTCTACAGTTTTTTGCCGCTGATACACGGGGTCGGAAAAGAGCGGAAATAGTACTCGCCTCCATAGTGTTATTATAGTGAGGATGGAGAGGAGCTCAAATGTTGCTTTGCAAGTAGCATTCGTCACAACAATCTTGACCTTTTTTATTTTCCTTCCTTCACTACCTTATTGGATTCTGGACAGCCATCGTCCTACCTCTGGTTATTCCTGTTGCATGTAGGGTTGGTCCAACCTTTGCCGGTCGATAACTTGCGCTGAATGGGCCGTTGTTCCTTGCCCTGGTTGCCACCCTCTTCCATTCCCTCACAGGGCGATTGAGGCCTTGTATTGCCTTGTATTTTGGGGAGGGGATAAAGAAAGGGAGCGAGTATAGAAGTTAGAATACTTTCTCGAAACTGGTCACACACGGCCTGCTCTTGAAACCGTGGGACAGCTGCTACCGGATCACTTTTCAGGTCTAATGACATTAATACGCATGAAATTGTTGAAGGAGCAAGTTCGAAGTTTACAGTAGAGCGATGACAGGTGGCAAAGGCGTTCAAGTACCTTTCACCAGGTTGGTTGCGTTGCTTCACCTAATGTATTACATTTGGCTAAAAGTTGAAATACAGGCTAATGTTTCTTCATATACGTCATAAACATGTTACATTTTATGCATTTTGCACATTTATGCAAATGCGAAAACGCATACTGACGAAATGTTTTCTGTATGTGTATGTATGTGTGTGTTTGTGTGTGTGTGTGTGTTCGTACTTTTGTCACCCACTTTCAACTCAGCAGTTGATGAAGCTAGGAAGTTGAAATTTCTGGAGGATGTTCCCATCTATGTACGATGCTTCATCTTTTTGAAATTATCGACCGCCTACGTCAGGATCTCATGTATAGACTGCTGAAATTATTTTTTTAAGGGCGTTTATTTATGTGAGCTAAAGATTTTGAATTCAGCTCAAATTTACACCTAAATAATAGGTACGGACACGTCAAAATTGCGATTTTTGTGAAATGCCAGCTTGGAATTAGGCTGTTGCTTTATTAGAATACTTGCTGTATATGTGTGAGTCTGTACATTGGCGTACACCTCTATCACGTGCATGAGCATGTCAGGCCGTTTTTGGGAAAAAGTGATTTTACGACGGTTAACTGAGCTGGGAAAAAGATTTTCTGAGGATATGGAGGTCCATGACAGGAGCATTTAAAATTCTTAAACAGTCTGTCGTATAAAGCAGGTGGCACTTCCAGTAAGAGCACTTCTTGCAGGCGCGAGTGGGACATTGTAATGAAATTATATTGGAGCAATGAAACAGCGGAACTAAAACAAGCAGTAGAATTAATTACATCCTGGAAAGCAAGGTTTTTCTTTTTTCCTTTCCACGCAAAAATGCGTGCTTTTCATCTTGTGCCTTTTTCTTTTTTACACCATTGTTTTTATTTTTTGAATTTCTCCAAAAGACAATTTTTCTTGGGTTTTAATTTTTCTTGGGATATTCGATTGTGTCCCTTCCATCGACTATGGCCTACAGTGCCAAACAAACTTTCATAGTTTACATTTTTCAGAAATTTTCCAGAACACTTTCCACCATAGGAAGGCATGAAATGTCAACTGACTTTTCCATTGCGGCTTCTGTGGCCATCACTCTTCATCCGGGGTTTTTTTTTTCGCACTTTTTTGATAAAAGATGTCAAAAAAATCAAGTACCATTTTTCTAGGTCGGGACAATCGGTACACATGGCAGCTGAAATGACAGAAATGTTACTAAGAGCAGTGATAATGGATAGACACACAGCAGATAACGACTGGATGGAAAAAGGCAATGTTCAGCTGGCTTATTGCGCTGCCATCATCCGGTATGTATGTGGGAAGCATGAATTTTTTTTATAAAAAAGCCGCAAAAACCAAAATTTACAAGCTATTTATATGAAATAAATGTGAATTTTGGGGCGCTAATGGGAAATTCGTTCCGTAACGAAAATCAGAATTGCCCTGGTTCTTCAAAGTACCATCCCAGTACTGTCTGTGCTGCTATATTGACACAGGACTTTTTGTACGAATTCACGTTATTTTGATGACGCCGCAGCTCGAAATTTAAGAGGTGAAAAAGACATACCTATATGCACTGCCGTGTAATCCGTTGGAAGCTGGGGAGTAGCAGAAAAAGGTGGGGGGGGGGGGGGGGGGGGGGGGG